GCCTAGGCCTAATTAATATAGTGTAGGCCTAGGCCTATATAAAGGCCTAGCCTAGGCCTAGTAGTATAGGCCTAGGCTAGGTCTATATTAGGCCTATGTAGGTCTAGGCCTAGTATCCTACATACTATTACTACTACTACTGTACTACTACTACTACCATAAAGACATAAAACCCTACAAGAATATATGGATTGAAGAAAAAATATAAAAATTAATTAGGCCTAGATACGAAAAAGCAGATGCATCGGGCTAGGCTAGGCCTATTTATTATTCCTATAATTAGGCATGGCCTAAGGCTAGGCTAGGGCCTAAAAAATAAATGACATACTGTACCTATAAAGTTAGTAAATCTGTCTCTTATACGATTTTACTTTTTCAGATTATTAACGTTCAATAGTACTCTACCCACTACAACTGCAAGTTCCGGAATCAACTCTATCCAACAGCTTTTTGCATGTAAGTTAAGGCCTATATTACTACTTTTTTGTTAAATTGGATTTTAGTAATGTGCTGTTTCATTTAGGTCTAGATATTTTATAGAGGCCTGAGGCCTAGGTATGTTCGTTTTTTGGGTGTGTGTTTTGGGTAGAAAATTCTTTTTCTTTCTCTTTTTTTTTGTTAATACTGTAATACCATCATGCAATTTTACAACACACATTTTGAGTCTATCTTTTTTACCAGTTTTGTACACGCTTACTGTATCTGTTTCAGATGGACAACAAACACCAGGAGCAATACCCATTGTTGTAGGTTTTCAAGATAAGCTGATTTGTACTGGTAAGTTTTCCAACCTTATTGATCTTGTCTTAGAATACGGTCACCATGGCAGGCAAAACTACTTGTTTATAATAAACCCAAATAGCTAATAGTAATCATAATATCAATAATAATAAATAACAAAAATAATAAAGTAACCAAATAATAATAATAATAATAACAACAACAACAACAACAACAACACTGTTAATAATAATAATAATATTATTATTATTATTATTATTATAATATTAAATAATAATAAACAATAATAATATTAAATAATAATATAAAATAATAAATACAAATAATATTTCAATCAATGTATAATTTTATTAATTTCAGTAGCACCATTGACCACATCAGCAGATCAAGAATCAACAACAAAAAAGATCAAAAGGTATTTAAGTGATGATATGTCAATGTAAATGAACAAATATTACCGTATATATTCCTTCAATACCACTGCCAATATTTAACTCAAACCTATTAAAGTTTTTGTTACTTTGCACCATAAAAAACATCTTAATTTTTTATTTCTTTTTTTCTACTAAAATGAGGACTTAATGTATCTCTTAAAAATGAGTACTATTATGATGACCTCAAATACTAAGCCCCTCACATCAAATGTATGTAATGTCATGTTGATTAATGCAATAATGGAACTTTATTCTTGAGTTATCAACAAATGTCATTTATAATAATTTTTAAGGAATTTAAATTAATTTTTTTCCTATTTAGATGGGATGAAGAATGGACAATGATTTAGTAAAAGAGATGCTCAATTCAAATATTTTTAGCTACAAATGTAATTCGAAGAGCCGAGGTTTGCGATCAATCCATTCGGAGCAACAACAGACTGAAATTTATTACCATGAATTCTTTTATGTCCATTTTACATAATTCTTTGCGACTGTACAGGTTTACAAACGGGTCGAACGGTAACAATCTATGAACCCCCCACCAACAGTTGTTGAGCAGTTTATCCTTAGTTTGAATAACATTACAAAATTCTTGAAGCTTATCTGGAGCAAGTCATGGCTGTTGGAGGGTTTCCAAAAGATGGTTACAATTGTCGTAAATAATGATGTCCACGATTTTGCACTTTGCCAAAAACAACTCTGTTATGACCGACCGAAGTTTGGAACCATGTCTGCATATCGACATGATACGCAAAAC